GAGGTTGAGGCAGGGGAAAATAGTGAAGCCCTATTTTAAAAAATAAGTAAAATAACAAAAGGAAAAATAAATACATTCAATAGAGACCAAATAAGACCAAATAAGCACCACCTGGCATGTGGTGCTGGGGATTGAACCGTGGGCCCTGTGCTTTGCCAAGCTTGTTTCAAGTAGGTGCTTTAGACCACTGAGCCATCTCTCCAGCCCCTGGGCTTGAATTTTTGATCCTCCCACCTTAGCCTCTCAGAGTGCTAGGATCACAAGTATGTGCCACTATGCCTGGCAAGGAAGATAATTTTTGTGTCTAAGATTTTTTGGGAGAGGACAGTGATACTGAGGATAAAATATAGGGCTTCATGCATGCTATAAGCAGATGCTGTACCACTGAGCTATATCCCCAGTCCTTTAAGTGATTGATTGATTGATTGATTGATTGTTTGACTGCCAGCCATACTGGGGATAGAACCTAGGGATATGCTGCCACTGCCACTGAGCTACATTCTCAGCTCTTTAATTTTTTTTATTTTTTTTTATTTTTAAGACAGGGTCTTGTTAAGTTGTTAAGTTACTCTGGCTGGTATTAAACTTGGAATGCTTCTGTCTCAGCCTTTCCAGGGTGTGTGCCACCATGCCTGACTTCAACTTAATAACACCTAGCTGCAAGTCTTTTTTCAAACTTGGCTTATTGGGTTTTTTGTTTGTTTTGTTTTGTTTTTTTTGAACCAGAGTCTTACTATGTAGTTTAGGCTGGCCTTTAACTTGTAGTGATGCTCCTGCCTCAATCTCTCAAATGCTGGGATTACAGGTGTGTGTCACCATGCCTGGCTCTTTCTTCAAATTCATGAATGAGTCTGCAGTTTTATCATTTACACAAGATCTTTGCCTTTAATGTACTTTTCTTACTTGAATTGATACTTTCATGAGGAATATAGATTTTGCGGAAAGAGTGGAAAATAATGAGGTGAATGAGGAACAGTTTCTGGACTACTTGAGACTGATTCAAGTCATGTCTGATACTGTGGCACGTGTAGCGACACCTACATATTCCATTAAATTTCTGTTTTCGGATTTGTTGTAGGTGGCAAAGGAGTTTGGCTTCCAAAATAATGGCTTCTCAGTTTACATCAATAGAAACAAGACTGGGGAGATAACAGCATCATCTAGCAAATCCCTCCACCTACTGAAAATCAAGTAAGTGCTACCCGGGAGGACCCTAGGAATGGGGAGGAACTGTGCCCCCCCCCCATAACCTTGGTGAGGCTCCCTGATTCATCATATTTCATTATACCACTGATTAGGCTCTTGTAAACCCCACCATTCAGGTGATTGTGTTGCTTGGCAGCCATCATACTGGGTCTGCACTTACTTACTGTTGAGCAGGTTTGACTGAATAGCAGAATTCTGGAATGTGTATCACTGTGAAGGTTTTGGTCTTGGGTTTGTATCGGCAGTAGGGTCAGCTGCTGTATTAGCCGGCTTTCCTGTTGAAGGGACAAAGTACTTGATAACTGCAGTTTGTTTGTGAGTTTATTTAATAACTGCAGTTTAAAGGAGGATAGGTTTCAGAGTGTTCAATCTATGGTTGGCTTGCTCCAGGACAGCAATGGCGTGGCAGAGTAAATCTCAACCCATGGCAGTCTGGAAGCAGAAGGAAAAGGGGCCAGGGACAAGAACATAACCTTGCAGGTTATGGCCCAGGGAGCTTACTGCAGCGATGCCCCTCGCCCTTTTTTTGAGACAGCATCTTGCTACATTCTTCTGGCTAGCTTTGAACTCACTGTGTAAATGTGTGCGCCACCCCCCCCCCCCCATGGTGATCCTCCTGCCACCACACCAGAATGCTGGGATTACAGTTGTGTGCCACCACACCCAGTTTCAAGACCCACCTCTTAGGGCCGGGGCCAGATAGCTCAGCAGACTAAAGTACCTGTTTAGGCAGATGCAGGGGCCAAGGGTTCAATCCACTGCGTGCCATGCAGGGTGCACTAAGAGGGCAATTGAGACTGGGCATGGTGGCATGCATGCCTAAAATCCCAGTGCTTGGGAGGCTGAAAACAGGAGGATCACTACGAGTCTGATCTATGTAGATCTATATGAGACCCTGTACACCCTGTAGACCCTGTTCTAAATACATTTAAAAAAAGAAAAAAAAAAAAAGACCCACCTCTTTTTTTTTTACTTTTTTTGGCGGAACCGGGGATTGAACTCAGGCCCTTGCGCTTGCCAGGCAAGCGCTTATGACCACCTCTTAATAACATGTTCAACTCTGAATCCATCAGAGGATGTACACTGATGAGTACAGCACCCTCTTCATTTGATCACCTTCCAAAAACCTACCCCTGAACACAGGAGATTTGGGGAGCATATGACTGGAAGCCATAGGAGCTGCACTCTCAGCTCTTCTCTGGAGGGAAGGACCTTGATTGCAAGCCATGTGTAAGAACATCCAGCCTTATCAACTCTGTTTGGAGAGAGAGCTGCGGAGTAATGGTCTATTATCATTTCTTTGAGTCGGTTGAGTCGGTTAATTGTGTTGGTAGAGTTGCTGGCTTTCAGAGACATTTTCACCTGCTGCCCGTATGTATATATTACTGGGATGTGGCCATGTCACCTGTCCAGGACTTTTCATGTTGGAAGTGGTTGTGATAGACCTTGTGACTTGTGGAGCTGAAAGTATTTGGTCCTTCATATATTTATTAGTATAATCATCTCACCATCCTGTGTATATACTTGCACGATTTTTTCCCTCCTTCCTTTTTCCCTGTCTTTTCTCCTTTCTCTCATCTTTGTTGTTTAATCCCTAAGTTCAGTTTCTTTCCGTTTTACCATATCTATTATACCTTTCAGGTTTTATTTCTTCTTTCAGGTTCTTTCACTAGGGAGACAATAGGGTATTTACACAAGTGGATCTGATTTATTATTTCACTTATGAGTATAGCCTCTAGTTGTATCCATTTACCTATAAAGGCTTTGAGTTTGTCTTTCTTCATAGCTAAGTAGTACTTCATTGTATAAAAATACCACATCTTTTTCATCCATTCTTCAAGTGATGGACATTTTGGTTGTTTCCCAGATTTGGCTGTGACAAATTATGCTACTGTAAACATGGGTGCACAGGAAAAAAAAAGAAAAAAAACCATGGGTACACATATATCTTGCCAGGGAAGCGCTTATACTACTGAGTCATCTCCCTGGCCCCTATTTTCAGTTCTTTTGGGCAAACATCCAGAAGAGAAATAAATAGCTGGATTGAATGGGATTTCCAGTTCTCACTTTTTGAGAAGTCTCCATACTGATTTCCATAGTGGTTGTACCAGTTTGCATTCCCACTACAGGGTAAAAGTGTTCCTTTTTTTACCACAGCCTCTCTAGCATTTGTTATTAGTTGATTTTTTTATGATAGCCCTTCTTTCTGGAGTGAGATGGTATCTTACTGTTGTTTTTTCATGTATTTGTTTGCCATTTGTGTTTCTTCCTCCAAGAAGTGTATATTTCTCTCAGATGCACATTTTTTGGTTCAGGTCTTTGAATTTTGAGGCCCTGAAGTTTTTTAGTTCTTTATATATTTTAGATAGAAGTATGAGTGATTATTGGTGAAGTTTATTCACAATTTTTTGGTTG